ACTTTTCCCTTCCCCCCTCCCCTCCCCTCCCCTCGTTGTTGAGGGATGATGCGGATGGGGTGTGGGTTTAATATTAATATTTTGTCGCGTAAATGGTTAGAAGGCCGCGATTGGATCCGGGAAAAGGTCCTTGTTTTCCTCCTCAACAGAGGGGCGTGTGTTAGGACGGGGCGTTTCGTCTCTTCATATAAATCTATACCTACTTAATCTATAATATAGCCATTATAGATGCTTGAATAGCGGGGTAAGTGGCCGATTTCTTGTGCGTACCGCCATGTTTCTCAGTTCCATTCGAGCCTCAATGATCACTTCCCTTTGATTTCGGATTACGGTGGGTTGACCAGGGAATGGGTTCATACTGAAGCGCCGCATGAAACTCTTTCCTATCCTCGCCTCTCCTCTTCTATTCTCTCCTTTTTTTTCTTCTTTTTTTCATGTATTTCTTCCTTCCCGAGCTCATATCGACCCACACAAGGTTGCCTAAGCATTATTTTCACGAGGAAAAGTCTTTCCCTTCGAGGGTCCCTGTCCAGCGCTTTCTGCTCGAACGAACGCGATCCCCCCACCCAACCTCTCGCTTGGATGTCTTCCGCCACCGACCTCGCCGCGACCGCGGCCTCGGAGGACCCAATCGCCGCCCCGAATGCCGTCGAAACCGAACAGAAGGCCCTGATGGAGGTGATGTCGTACGGCAACGCGCAGGGGTGGCTGAAGGCGGATAAAGCCCACGCGTTGGGTTGCCGCGGGCTGCTTCAGGAGGTGATGGAGGCCGGGCGGTGGGGAACGGGCGGGGCGCCCGTGCTCCCACGCGGGAAATCCACCACCCAGCCCTCCGCCGAGGTCGCGATCCTCGCCGGGGAGGATTCCTTGGAAGGCGCGCTCCATCGCGCCTCGGAGTCCTTTCGCGCCGCGGAGGAGAAGCTCCTGCAGGACGGCCTGATCTGCTGTGAGGATTGGCTCGCGCTGCGGGATACCTTCTTCACGGCGGGCTCGCTTTTCGCCCTGGCGGGGTACCCCGACGCGGCCGCGAAGTGTTTTCTCCACGCGACCTTCATCAACGGCGCCTTCAAGGCCGGCGCGGAGGACGAAACCCGCATGACGCTCACCCAATGCGTGGATAATTTGAAACACCTCCACCCCTCCCTCGCCGTCGACGCGTTGTTGCAGCTCGCGACGACCTACGAGCGGAGCGGAGTGGCGAGTCGGTTTGAAGGGAATCGTCGGGGCGGCTTCCCGCCGCTGATGTGGCAGGCCGCGCGATGCCGAAAGGAGGCCGCGGAGTTGACGGATCGCCGATTGGACGACCACGCCGCGGCGATTCCGCTTTACGAGGCGGCGATCGACACGTTTAAACGCGCGGCCGGCGAACCGCCGTTTCGCCCGGCCGCGGCGCTGCAACGCAGGGGGACCGGCGCGGAGGGCGGGGAGGCCCCCACGCCGTCCGACCCCTCGCGCCTCGCCCGCACGCATACGAGCTCGCGGAAGTTTCTCGATATGTATAAGAGTTTTGTGCAGGGGATGCAGGATCGGCTCGGGATTCTCTACAGCGAGCTCGGCGAGTACGAAAAGGCGGAGATGCTGTTCTTGGAGAAGGCGCAATGCACCCCATGCGGGCTCCCCGCCACGCGGTATTACCTCTACGCGACCTTATGCGTCCTCGTCCGCGGCTTCGGCGACGAGGATCACTACTTCAATAGCCTCTACTACACGAAAAAGGTCTTTGATCGCTTCCAGGAGATGGATAAGGGCTTCCAGAAGGGGAAGGAAAACGAGCTGGTTCGGAACATCCTACAGGCGTTCGACAACAACTCCTTGAATTCGTTTGATATAGCTCTTAACCTGTATTCGTCGTACTCCACAACGCAGCCGAACCTCGCTTTTGATGTATTGTCCTCTCGGTGCCGCCAGAACTTGCTGGATCATCTCGAACGATATGCCTAAAGGAGATGAGTTTGACAAAACCGCGAAACGGATTGGGGCAAAGGACATTTCATATGAACCCATATATATAGGTGAGAGGGAGTGCGTGAGTGGATATATTAATGTATATTCAACCTCAGCGAATAAAAAATGTTAGGAAGTTTGCGGGGGTTTCTTCCATTTTGCGTTGCTTATTGAGTAGTAGGGTATGGTTTTTTTCCCGTCTCTTTCAGCATGCTTGCAAAGCCTTATGTATTGTTTTCACGATGGAGGGCCACAATTTTTTTTTTTTAAGTATGAGTATTATTTTATTGTGTATAAATTGGAAAAGGTATTCCGTTTTTCCCGCGCCTTCCATGCAGTAGTAACGACAGAAAAGCGATTTAAAAACACCGGCATAAGGCTTGAAGGAGGGATGAATGGGAAAAGTGATACTTTGATATGTATACAGGAAATTCAATATATGCAAATGCACACGCATATCTAACACCATAATGGTGAATCAGTACAGATGTAAAACACATAATAATCGCATCACATGATCGACAAAGAGGCTCGTGTGTAGTTTTCCAATTCTTTTCAACATGTGAGTCTGAGTGGTTCGGATTTGCAATGCAGACAACACTATGGTATGATAATGCATGGGATATTTTGAACAGAAACCAAAATAAAACATCTTCTCCGTTTTTTGATCTTCTTTTTATTTAGGTTGGTGAGATCGGTGAATATCCTTGATTCCTTTTTTTCCATTGTGGTGAATCATAGACCACAACGACACCGAACCTAAGGAAGAAAAAAAGCGTATCCCGAGGCACTACATCAGAATCCATAGATATTTTGGCGTAGAATACTTATTTTCATTTGTATACCTTTCCTTTCGATTCTCTTGTTCCCAGGATAGGGATCAAGGACAGGTTTGATTCCTTTCCCATTTCGTCCACCCTCTCAACTTCCGGGCGAATAAGAAGCGGACCGCCACCACAACCCTTCTCTTTCTTTTTTTTTCTCTCTCTCCCTCTTTCTTTTTTTTTTTCAAGACCGCCTATCCTTCAGAGGGGGATGAGCAGTGATTTCGAGCGCCTCGTCCTTGGCGACGGCGAGGCGGCACACCTGCCCAAGCCCTTTCCATCCAGGGCTTCCGCCGATCGCGGCAACGCGAACCCGGTGGAGATTCCCAGCTTTTTACGTGACGAGGGGGAGGGGCTCACGCCGAATTCCTCGCCCTCCGCGCCCGGGAGTGGCGCCATCGGCCACACCGTCTTTCCCTGCGCGCCGCGTGGCGGGTCGGGGCGGGACCGCCAGGCCGCGGCGTCGCGCGTTTCCGACCAGACGGCGCCCTCCTCGACGACGCTCGCGGGGTCCTCGGTGGAGCGGCTGTGCTTCACGACCGCCGCCGGGCGGGCGTGGAATCTGCGGCGGCAGAAAATCCTCGGCAAAGGCAGCTACGGCTGCGCGACGCTGTATCGTCAGGACGAGCCCGTGGGGCCCCCTCCGAGCTCCGGCTCGCGCGCCTGCACCGCCGCCTCGTCGTGGACGATCGCGCCAGCGGAGGGGGGTTCTTCGGGGTGGCCGCCCGGGGAGACCCCGGCGCTCGTGGTGGTGAAGGATATCAACTTTCAAACGATGTGCAACCGCGAGGAGGAGATGGAAAACCTACGAAGCGAGGTCGCGATCCTTCGCAGCGTGCGAGGCCACCCGAACTGTTTGCAGTATCTGGATTACCACGAGGCGAATCGCATGGCGTACGTCATCACGGAGTACTGCGAGGGGCGGGATTTGGGGTTCATCCTGGAAAACCTCCAGCAGGAAGGGGCAGGGGGGGTTCTCCCGGCCTCCTGCGTGATCGCCGTCGCCGGGGTGAACCACTTCACGGAGGCCTTCCTCGCCTCGATGCTGATCCAACTCAGCATGGCGTTGTATTTCCTCCACACGACGCGGCGGGTCTGGCATCGGGATGTGAAGCCGCAGAACCTCTTCCTCCTCGCCGATCGCGCCACCCTCCGCGTCGGCGATTTCGGCTCCGCGACGAAAGTCGGCGGGGTCGGCGATAAACTCAGCGCGGCCTGCGGATCGCCCTTTTATATGGCGCCGGAGCTCCTTGAGGAGCGGGGGTACGACGCGGGCGTGGATGTCTGGTCCGCCGGCGTCGTCCTCCACGAGTTGATGGCGCTCCGCCGGCCGTTTGAGGCGCGGACGGTCCGGCAGCTCCTCCCTCGCCTGCGGGAGGGCCCCCCTTCGCTGGATCGCGGCCACTACTCCGCGGAGCTCCACGCGCTCGTGCGGTCGATGCTCACCGTCCGCGCGGACGCCCGGCCGACGTTTCGGCGGATTCTGCGTAGCCCCTACGCGCGCGCGCACCTCGCGGACCTCCCGGTGTCGGTTCTGCGCGAGGAAGGGGGAGGGGGGGGGGGGAGTTATCGCGAGGTCTTCGGCGACGCGGCCGTCGCGGAGGCGATCGCCACCGCCATGGGGGGGGTTCGACCTCCCAAAGAAACCCCGGCGAACGCGGAGGAGGAGGCCCGGTGGAATGCGGAGTACGCGGATGACCCGTTCGAGGACGACGACGAGGACGGCTAGCGCGGGGTGCGATCCTCGCCCGCGTCGTTCCCTCACGCGCTCTTTCGGGTTGTGGTTGTTTGTTTATTTGCTTGGTTTTCTCACATCCCCATACAAACATGTTAAAAATTGAAGAAAAACCTACAGCTTGCCTGTTGATTCTATCTTCGTGTCCTGAGGAAAGGATTGTGCGTGTTTTTTTTTCTTCTGTCTATTCGACAAAATTCGATTCTTTCTAGGTCTATGTTGATTTTGTTTTTCCGCATTTGCCTTTTCTTGAAGACATGCATCGTACAAGCCGCCCAGGAGCGAAAAATAAAAAATATTCGCACAGAAACCAAAATGAGAGAGGTGTGTATGAATGAATGTATGTGTATGTGTGTGTGTGTGGAGAGGGGGTGGGGGGAGGGAGGGGTGAATTATGTTCGAAAGGTATTGAGCCCATCGGCTTTAGTCGTGTGGAGGTCCTTACTTTTATGCAATACAACTGCCGCACTCCTTCTTTTCATGAGGCGTATTCCACACACACATAGATCTTTTTTTTTTTAATAATTTCCTATTGGATCCGTGTTTAGGGCATTTCAGTGCGTCTTTGAGACTCATCCAGAAATCTTTTATTCCCTCACTTTCGTTTACTAGAAATAGGTAAAAAGAAAAACAAACACCTCTTGAAGGGGAATTAAAAAAAAAACGGAAAGGTAAAATAGCAGTAAACGCCTAAGAATAATACTAATAATACTACTAATAAAGAGGTATGAAGTTGGAACTGAAGGAGTTCATTGAGGCGACCAGGCTCCTTCACGAGCGCCGGGATCGTGGTGGGGTGAAGCGGACCCGTTTAATGCTTCGCCTTCGCCCGCACAGCCATTCGAAAACCTTCATCATAAAGTGCACGGACGGGCGCACGACCTACACCACCTCCGTCAGCCATCAAGGGCAGCTCAAGCTCGTGGAAAACCTCGTGCAGGATTTCGTTACCGGCTGCACGGCCGACTCCGTGGTGCCGAAACCGACTCACGCGGAAGGAGAGGCGCCTGCACCAGGGTCGCTGTCGCCGCCACCACCACCCGCGGTGAGCGTTCCGCAGAGCAACCCGAACCCCAGTGGTGGGAAAGGCGGTAAAAAGGGAAAGAGAGGAAAGCGGTAATGCGGAGACGATCCTAGGGTGAGGTTGGAGGGAGGTTTTGTCTCCCTTAAAGAAGGGAGTAAGGGAGAGTGTTTTTCAGCGGAAGGGAAAAGGAATGAGGTACCTTGAAGAGAGGTTCTCGTTCTCTCTCCCGTGTAGGTGATTGCAACTGTGTGGAGACGTTTCATTGATGGCGCTCCAATTTATTAATTGCATTATTTTCCGTCTTTATGGGGCTTGTATTTATTGTAAAAGGAACTAAAAGGTGCGTTTGCGGTAAATACTGGGCAGGATGCTGTGCAGTGTTAGAGGGGAGAATTTCCCCCAACACCGAGGTTGGAGGGTCTCTATCAACGTTGCGAAAGGAACCATGACGAGAAATATTGAATGAGTTGACAGGCTCGCGAAAAGTTGTTGTTTCCAAACGCTTTGTTTTTGTCATATTTATTCATTGCTATCGTATTCTTTGCTGGAAAAAATGAGTGGAAAACAGCGACTAGCATTTTCCCTCACCCTTAAGCCACATCAGCGAAGATTACTCCTTTTTGTAGACCATTTTTGGGAAAACGAAAGGGTCTCGATGTGAGGTACCTCACAAAATCGCCCCACCAGAGTCGAAAGCTACTTTACCGGATACCAACAGCCGTTGTGGGGCGAAGAATGCCGTCCAACCGTTCACACGTGTTCGGGTAGTATTTTTTTTTCCCCACTTAAATGTCTCGCCTGTGTGGATGGACCCCTTTGGGCTTCTTCATGCTGCCTACCCACCCCTCCCTTTTAATTTCCTCACCCCTTTTTTTTTTCTTCCCTCCCACAACCCACGAGGAGTAGAACGTCTAGGAAGACCTGAGGTTTTGACGCCAAACCTCACGATTCGCGAATCGATTTGATGTTATCCACCTCCTCCACGAACGGGGAGGTCTCCGTGAGCCCGCTCAACCCCCCGCCCGGGCTGCCTGTGGTCAAACACAAACTCGTCCTCCTCGGCGACCAATCGGTGGGCAAGACGAGCATCATCGCCCGCTTTATCTACGACAGCTTCGACGCGCACTACCAAACCACCATTGGGGTGGATTTCTTCTCCAAGTTGATCCCGTTGCCCACCCACGCGGTGCGGTTGCATATTTGGGATACCGCCGGGCAGGAGCGGTTTCGCGCGCTCATCCCGGGCTACATCCGCCACAGCGCGGCGGCGGTGGTGGTGTACGACATCACCAGCCGCCCGTCCTTCCTGGTCGGCCTCGCCTGGGTCGACGACGTCCGCGCGGAGCGCGGCGACGACGTCGTGGTGGTGCTCGTCGGCAACAAAGTCGACCTCGCGGATGCCGCGGCGCGGGAGGTT